CACTGAACCACTGAACCACTAAACCACCAAACCATCAAACCACCAAACCACCAAACCACCAAACCACCAAACCACTAATCCACTAATCTACTAAACCACTAAACCACTAAACCACTAAACTACTAAACTACTGAACTCCTAAACTTCTAAACAACTATTCTACTAAACTACTAAACTACTAAACTACTAAACTTCTAAACTACTAAACTACTAAATTACTAAAGTACTAAGCTACTAAGCTACTAGCTTAGTAGCCTAGTTTAGTAGCTACTAAGGTACTAAACTACTAAGCTACTAAACTACTAAACTACTAAATTACTATACTACTGAATTACTAAACCACTAAGTTACTAAAATACAAAATTGTTTTTATGACACCAAGTGACGAAACGGACAAGTCACACATGGTGATAACTGACACGCTTGTCGATAACAGTTACACTTGTAGCAAATAAGTTGCAAAGTTACAACTACATAATCACAAAATTACTGAGTTACTGGCTTACTATACTACGAAACTACTCAACTACTAAACTACTAGGCTACTAAACTACGAAACCACTAAACCACTAGGTCACTAGATCTCTACACCACTAGACCACTAGACCACTAGACCACTAGACCACTAAACCCGTGGACTACAAAACTACAAAGTATAAAACTACAAAGTTATAATGTTACAAAGTTACGAAGTCACAAAGTCACAAAGTCACAAAGTCACAAAGTCACAAAGTCACAATGCCACAAAGTCACAATGTCGCAAAGTAACAAATTCTTAGGGCCGTATTTCAGAACCCTACTCAATACTCAAGTCTGGACTTGAGTAATGCAGTGAGCACTGAAAATCTTACTCAAGTCCTTGCCATTAGGGTAGTATTTCTAGTGCTTGAAATCATACTCAAGTCTGCTCAAATCCTGACTTGAGCATTGAGTACAGTTCTGGAATACGACCCTTAAAGTCTCAAAGTCACAAAGTTACAAAATACTGAATTACTTACTCTCTTCTATACTAAAACAACAAAACTACAAAATTACAAAACTACTAAACATTAAAATACTAAATTACAAAACTACTAAACCACAACATTACTATACTAATGAATTACTAAACCACTAGATTACTAAACTACTAAATTATCAAACCACTAAATTACTAAAATACAAAATTGTTTTTATGAGACCAAGTGACGAGGCCGACAAGTCGCCCACAAGGTGATAGCTAACACGCTTGTCGATAACAGTTACACATTTTAGTCCCTCGATAAGAAATCTACTATGTTATTACCCCTGTCTATATCTATGGTTATTACTACCCTGGTTCAGCATCTCAAATTGTGTTTTGGGGTGCCTTCAAAAAGTCGCTTGTAAAAGCACTAGCAGTGGCGCGATTGTAGCGCAACAGCCGCGCTTCAGTATTTTTTAGTTCACCAAGTGTGAGGCCAGACGAGAGTAATTTTGTGATTTTGTTCGGTTTCATATAAAAGTACGGTTTGTTTCACACGACGACGCAAAATAAGTTGTCTGCCGACTCACGGGCGTAATGACGACTGGCTTTCGGCCGCGTCGTGAGTCGGGCTAGCGCGGGTGGAGGTAGGGGCGAGGGAAGGGGTCACTTTGGTATAGGATGCGCGAGAGTATAGATGTTTCTTGCGGAAATGTTCGATATGGAGATTAAAATAAAAATACTTGAACAACTTACTTGATTGTTATAGTCTTTCCTTTGGACTGACGGCTTGTCTCATATTTGCATCTGACTTAGCAATAAAAGGTTTCACTAGGCTTAATAATTTTTGAAAAACATTTACTGGCCTGTCGTAGTACTTAACAAATTGACTTGGATGTTCACATAAACTTGAATATAATATATGAAACTGCCCACACTTTAATCGTTTCTACTATTACGGCACAAACACCCCGTATAAACGCTTAAAAGCAACTTAATAAAATACCTTCGTCTGGAACTCCAACCGAATTTCGGTTGAGCTCAAAACAATGCAACTCACAACTCACAAAATTACGCTCGCTTGGCCTCGCACTAAAGGGTGATTGATACACCCGCCGTGGTCTCGAATCGACACGCGCCCGAGCCCGACCCGCATCAGTTCTTGTATGGTTCTCGATTCTTTGTGACTGCAAAAGAGGCGCACGCGCGTTACCACAGCCCGTTGCACCAAGTACCTACTACCAAGTACCACAGTCGTGGTGCTGGAACTGCGCTTCTAAGAGCCTCTGCGCCGCAGACGCGCTGTAGTGAACCCATTCAAACGCGCACAAACATCGCATTGCAAGCAAGAAGCTTATATAGAATTTAATGTAGTTGCATCATTTCAAAAATTAACTGAAATTAATAAACAAAACTAAAATTAAAACTATTTCCGCCAATGTACTTAGGATGCGATGCCGTTTGTACTGAGACGCGATGGAGTAGCGATGCGCTACGCTTTCGCATGATAACGTAGAAATCGCCCACATGTTTCTCAGCAAACATGGAGTTTAAAAACTGTTATCTTTGTTGCAGGCCATGGCGCGCGAGAACGGACGCCAAGTTGAACGTTTTGATGACCTGGTAAGTACCTTTTGACGACCCCTCCTGTCACTTTCACGTCATTAAATATTTGATGTTTTTATCTTGTTACTAATTTAATCACTGTTTCGATTCAATGAAGTATAAAACAAGAATTTTATTAAAATTTAGTAAAAGAAGATTCTCAAGAAGTTTGTATGAGCCATAGTGACTTGAGGTTGCGTGATTTACGATTGTTTCGCCTAAATGTATTTAGGGTAGCAAAAAGAAGTGATGCAACGTGTGTCCAACTAAGTGACGATATGACGGAAACAGATGTCAAAAGCAAATCTTAGCGAAAGCGGAAACGGAAGCGGAATTTAAATATTATAAAGATCTCAACAAACTATTTCCAAACAGGGCTTGTGTTTGATATCATAAATAGCATTTAACATTACACAGAAATGTTAAAAATCCCGCGCCACACCGTCTGTCGTGACTAAATTTCCAATTAAAGTTCCGTTATAAAAGTTACGGAAGCAGAAACGGAAAGAGACGTGAAAAACCGTGCGTAACTTCCGTGGTCAGCAGAAGCAGAGGTCTGTTGCATCACTAGCAAAGACTACCTTCGCCTAGCGAATTTAAACATGTAGTTACGTATGGTATAGTAAGTTCTAAAAGCACGGGTGAGAAAAACCGTCCAGACTGGTTGCAGCCTGGCGGTACGTCATCGGACAGTCGGCATTACCATTAGGAGGCTTCGGGCTCATCGAAAACAAAAGTTATATGTCCACTTATTATCTACCACTTTACGCAGCGCTACAATCGGTACAGACGTTTTAGTAGCAGGCCTCCTTGTGAATGAGTTCGTTTAGGGAATAAGGCACTAGCCTCTCAGATCTTTGTGATTTAATGCTCTGAATGACAGGCGTACGACTTGTTCGTCCCATCTGTACCTTGGTACCATAAAAAAAGTGACAACTGACGCTGACATCGCGAGCAACATAGATAATGTCGTTCCGCTGGAACACTTCCGTGTTAATGGAGTTGGTGAGATGCTCAGAGACATGTCATACGTGACCTTTTATAATTTGTAACATATGTAACGGACTGTATCAATCGGTTAAACGGTGGGTGCTAACAACAAGTGAGCAAGGCCAAAGTAAATGTATATACAGTTTACATTGACTTACAATTATATGGACGTCGGGTCCGCGCTAAAAAGTGTCCGAACTTATAGGGCGTTAAAATCGTATACAAAGCGTCATTCAAGCTTTAGTCTTCGTTTGTTCGACTGACAGCGAAGCAAGCAAAATTAGACAGTACTGCGATGACATTACAATTTAAATTCAACGTTTTAGCTTTTTCATATTCCTTTACATGTCACTACGTTTAAATAGGTTGACTTGGGACATTTTTTTCGTGGTTTTTGTATTAGACCCGTCGTCCATTTATTTGTAAGTCAATGACAGTTTATGAATTTTTATAACAAAAACACGTATGTCGCTTGTTCTAAGCGTAGAGTACTTGTTTTAATAGCCGCTCACGCGATTCATGCGTCTCTGGTAGCATACCACTCCTAGAGGTGCCGGTGATGATTTTATACAGATTTATCGGATATCGAAGTTATAACTAATTGCTATTTCGGTAACTACTCTAGCAAACCATAAAGTTTTTAATGCCTGGGTCTGTCATTTAAAAAAAAATAAACAACTTCAAAAATACGTCACGACAATCGTGTGTGTTATTGTTTGGGCTGGTGATGTCGGCGTTTATTTATTGAAAACATACCGTAAGTTGCGTTTCTTAAGTTTACCCTGAATATAAATGTTTATAAACTATACTTTAAGGAGTAATTTCATGGTAAACATTAGAACCACTCATACGGAGTATTATCATATTTACCCAAGTACACCAAAAATTTCATTAGTGCTTTTTAAGTGCAGGATTTGCGGTGTATTACTGCATTTTATTTGAGATGTTTTTGTTGTAGTACGGAGGGTATTTATTTAGCAATGCAGAATAATAACTCTGAATTTTAAGCTAGTTTGATCTGAGTAAAGGAGAATGGACCGAACTGCAATAATAAGCACCGTTCGTTATTCACTTTAATTAGTTTGTTCTGAACGACACAGAATTGGCCAAATGCCAGTGGCGCCATCTGTAAGGAAGGCTGAGACCCTGTTTGCATTGAAAAACGAATTGAAATGTATCCCTCTACAAAAGTAGCTGTAAGTTTAGGTTTTAATGTGACCAATCGGTGGCCCCATCAAACAAACGTGTAAAGGAAAAACTGCAACTAACAGGAGCGATTAAAAACTTAAAATTAATATTACACATTGGTGATTGGATATAATATAAGATTTCAATACAATGAATGGCCGAATAAAAAATAAAAAAAACATATATATAGGTATATCTTATGGGTGAGATTCGTAATATAATTTCATATTTTTAGTCGATATAACGCTCAACAGATATAATTAATTTATGGTATACAGACATTTGATATATTCTTGCATGATATAAAGGTCGCTAGGTATAATAGACGATTGATATAACAACTTTCAATCTAATAAACCGATGGCATAATGTTCATTTTATATAAACACTTCAGATATAACATTCACTGACTATAATGTTGAATGTGTATGTGTGAAAAACAATTAATATAATTCCAGTGGTGTTTACGTGCATCGGTGAATGAACCGAATTTGTTTGCATTTCCTAGTTGGTTCGACCTCCTCCTGTGGGTTTAGGTTAGGTTAGTGTATG